TATATATATATATATATATATATATATATATATATATATATATATATGCTGCCAGAGTCTTAACTGGAGTTAGTAGGAGAGATCATATTTCTCCAGTTTTAGCTTCTCTCTATTGGCTCCTTGTCAAATCCAGAATAGATTTCAAAATCCTACTTCTAACCTACAAAACTCTCAACAACCTAGCTCCATCTTATATTACAGATCTTATTGTTCCATATTTTCCTAGCAGAGCACTTCGCTCTCAGGCTGCAGGTTTACTTGTGGTTCCTAGAATTTATAAAAACAGAATGGAAGGCAGATCTTTTAGTTATCAGGCTCCTCTTGCGGAACCAACTTCCAATCTCTGTCCGTGAGGCTGACACATTATCCAGTTTTAAAACTAGGCTTAAGACTTTCCTTTTTGCTATATCCTATAGTTATGGTCAGCTTGGGTTTCCTAAGCTGTCCCTTAGTTATGCTGTTATAGGCTTTGACTGCTGGAGGACAAACTGACCACAATTTTCACTCTGCTGCTGTCTTTACTTACTCTGCTCAACCTGTTTTGTATTTGTAATTATTTTTTCTATCCTTAACATGTGTTTTTTGTCTTTCAAGACCTATAGCTGGACCTACCATTCTGTGTTCGTCTGTCTCTCCTTCCTGTCCTCTCAAACCAGCCGGTCAAATCAGATGGCCGCTTGTCCTGAACCTGGTTCTGCTGGAGGTTTCTTCCTTTTAAAAAGGGAGTTTTTTCTTTCCACTGTTGCCTTTGTGCTTGCTCAGGATGGGAGACTGCAACAAAGCCAAGATTCAACTTGTCTGCTGGATTCCTTAGATAGAGAACTTTACTAATTGACTTTTATATATGTGAACGTTCCTGTAAAGTGCCCTGAGACAACTTTGTTGTGATTTGGTGCTATATAAATAAACTGAATTGAATTGAACCCAGTGGTTCCCAGTTTCAGGCACAAAACCTCTTGAGATGATTTCCAGGGGGGAAGAAAAATATGCAAAATCCAGTTTAATATCAAGTAAATACATTTAATGTTAATTTAAATTGTTAAATTTGTTAGATAAGATGTTTTACAAGGAAAGAAATATAGTTTATTTTTGTTTGCTTTTTAGTCATTATAACACTTGTTTGATGTTTTAAATATAATGTCTGCCTGCTTAACCAAAGACGTAAAGGGTCACACGTTTTTGCTGCTGTTTCTCTGTCAGACATTCAGAAGCTAAAACGTTTGGGAACCATTTATTGATCTAACCCATAAAAACCTTCAATGACTTTTAAGGAAAAAAGAGCCTAATTTTCTTTAGTAAAACAGAAGTTGAGCAGAAGCGTTTTTTGTAGTCGCAGGAATTCTATTTCTGCTTGGGAAGCGAAAGTGTCAGCAGAGCAGATGGTTTAACATTTCACAAAAACCTTTCCATAAACACATTCATATGTCTCTGTCATGATCGTCACGTCTTGTTGTCACTTTCCTCTCTCCAAGCTAAACACTGATGGTGAATTTTCATTCTCTTACACCTGAAAGCAACTAAAACACATTTGATGTCACATTTTACAAAACAGAATCTGGAATCTGGAGGAAGTTTGTAAATAAACTTCAAACTTGTCCTCAACTTTGCTAATTAGAGCTGTGCACCTAGTCTTCCATTAATTTCAACTAATTGCTGTTAGGGCTGTAAAGCTGCCCCGTCAGTTCCATTATGCCATGCTCTGAGCTCCACAGCACGGTGAGAGTGATGCTTTAAAGACCACAAACCTGGGACTAATACAATCTTTCGTTGATGCGAATGAGCCGGCAGAGTGGATGTGCTTGAGTGCACTTGGCCTGGCTGTCTTTGCCGTGTTGCGGGTCAGCAGCCTAGATTCCTGAGAGACTGCCCTCCTAAGCTGTAGAGATGAGCTTAACACTTCACAAATGTTTGAAGAAGCCAAAAAGCGTCGGCAAGGAGAGCCTGACATTTCCCGTGTCAAGGCGGGCGTCTGAAGAGGAAATAAGGTGAGCTGGAGAGGGGACGCTGGACCAATATAAAATGGACTACATTTAAATGGTTTAAGGGCGAGTGAATGCATCTTCACACACTGAAAGGTGTGTTTGTGCGTGCATGTGTTATTGTGCCCCTGTGTTTTTGCAAATGTGAGCTGGGATTTGTGTAAGAAAATCTAAGCAGCACGTCAAAGCATGGAGATCGATGATTTGCTCGAAAGATCGCGCATAAAAAATACAGAAATACATACAATATACAGAGCACACAGTTAGAGTAATCCATCACTGAGGTTCAAGCTACACAACCCACATCCAACAATGCATATCAGTTGACGAGCATCACCTTTCACACACACATGCCTTGCACAAATCCCACACGTAAACAATTAACTTTGCCCCTGCGACGTCTTCATGCTCTCAGAGGTGATTGTCCATTCACCATATTAAAGCATAAATAATCCATGCAGACATATTTCTCTCTATTTAGTTGGAAAAAACCTCTGATGGATTATTCATGTCTCTGCTGCACGTACAACCTTGAGGCGTTCTCCTCATATCTATGGCTAACAATATGACATATGAGAGCAGGGGTGACATTCATCTCCCTTCCTCTCTCTCGCTCCTTCACCGAGGCTTCACCGGCTCTCTGGGATGGGCAGCAAAGGCCTCCTCCAAGGACACATTCGCCTGTGAGGATTAGGCTACTGGTGACATGCTCTGGTTTCTCTGCCCTATCGTCTAAAATAGTTTACCGTGATAGATAAACTAAAGCAGACGATCAATTATCAGAACTTGAGCCCCTTCTTAGTCAATGATCGGCTTTAGTGCAATAATAAATCAGAAAAATAATCTCCAGAATGTCTTTAAATTTACAGCAAAAGCATCCTGAAAATAAGTTCAAAACGTTAAAGAGCAAGCCATTTTGGTCATTTCTTTGTCTCTCCTCTCACACAGAGCCCAATCACTATCTGGGTAATAAAGCGTAAAAACAACACCGTGCACGTGCAAAGGACTCATTCATGGTGTTCATCCCTGTCTGCCACTGACTGCACCGAGTACCAGCAGAGAGGTGTTTTGCTACATTTATCACAGTAGGTTTTTTTGGCTTTGTTTTGTTTTTTGAAAATGGGGTCTGAAAATACAAAGCTGCTAAGATGGCAACAAGGAGGGAAGTGAAGCGTGGCGTTCGCCGCCTTCAATCAGACAAACCAAACTGGTAAATGGCATCAGTGTT